TACGGCTGCCATTATCAGCCGTACCACTCGGAGACATTTGTCTATTGTGCTAAATACCTGATAACAGAGTTGTAGAGTGTATAATTTTTGATTATTTGATCAATTTCAGGATCTTAACAAAGCTAAAGATCATTTTAGAGTCAATTCCGAAAAAGCAGGCTAGAGTGTAAATTTCATATTTTCCAACCAGTCAATGTTTTCAGTTACAGCCGCTTTTGTGATTGCAAGGATTTCTGCCTGAAAAACGCTACAGAGATCGTTTATACGAGTTGCATATTGATAATTCCTTGCACCAATGCTTTCAATCAATAAACGCATCTACACGAAGGGCAGGCGCTTTTGTGATTGCAAGGATTTCTGCCTGAAAAACGCTACAGAGATCGTTTATACGAGTTGCATATTGATAATTCCTTCTGCACACTAGCGTGGCCAAAGGGCATCGGCCTCCACGTGTTCGTTCCCGTACTCTCGGGGTTTTCAAGATTATCTTTAAGGTCGCTTTTGGTGTACTTATTAGTACTCCGGTAATCAGGATCGACGCTGATTGATGTACGCTACTCATTTTGGCCAGCAGTGTATGCTTTTTGACCCCCTGCCACCATACAAGGCAACCATATGTAAGTATGGGGAGTACAACCGTTACATACAACCAGTGTATGATCTTGGGTTTTAGTCCCCAACTTTTACCTATAGAATTCTTGCAAGAGTAGAGTGCTATTAAACCTTTTAGTACGTTCCTCAACATTCCTTTTTCCACGTTAGCTTGTCGTCAAGGACTGCACCTAGGTATATTGCTTCTATGGAAAACCATTTCTCCACCCAGGGGTGACAGAAACTCCTGTCATCATATAAGACCTCTACGACTTCTTCCAGACAATAACTAACTCCGGATCTTTTGCAGGCAATGGGATACCTATAAGTCTCCAATAATCAATGGAATATCTTCAGAACTTGTGAAGACATTAGGGGGCTCAATATACAGTAGCAAACCTTCAGGTCTACTAGGAGTAATATAAATCCTACAAGTCTGTTATGGACATTAAAGACTGTCATTTCTCAAATAATTTCTAGGCAATAGAAAACTTTCAGGTCTTCTATTTGTAAAAGAAAACATCTAGTCTTCTAAATATAATAAAATCCCTCCTGAACTTCTAAGGATAATAAAAGACATCTGTAGACTATAGAAGACCTTTCTTCACGCCTTTCAAAGACAACAAAAGTTATTCAGTTCTACTATGAACCTTCAGGTCTTTGTAAGGCAATATACGTCAATAGTATTCCCCCAGTACTCTATGGACAATAGAAGACTTGCGGGTCTCCATGACTTTTATAGTCGATAGATTATCTCCCGACTTTCTATTGACTACAGAAGACCTTTCTCGAGGACTATTATACATAGAGGTATTTTGAAGATTTTCTAATGTCCGTAGAAGGTCTGGAGAATACGCCCAGGCCTTTCATAGGCAATATAAATGGTCCGAGATCTTCTATAGTTCATAGAGATCTTCTAATGCCCACAGAAGGCCTGGAGAATACGTTCAGGCCTTTCATAGACAATATAAATCGTGCAGGGTTTCTATAGACAATAGAAACCATCCAAGTCTGCAACGGGCAATAGGAAACCGTCATGTCTCCATGTCGTTTATAGACAATTGAAATAAAACCTCCAACTCTTTTATGGACAATACAAATCGTATATATCTTCCAGGACTTCTATGAACTAGAAGAAGAACATTCTGCAAGTCTTTCATAGACAATATAAATCCTTTGGGTCTTTTAAATGAAATGGAAGACCTTCAAGTCTTACATAGACGTTAAACGACATGTACATTAGAACTTTTTGCAAGGTTAACCTACACAAATATGTATCGGAATTGACAAAAAAACACATGTACAATGTAAATAAATACTTCCAGAAAGACTTCGAATTTAATTTATGACACATTTATGGTCTTTATTTATGATCACCCAAAAATACACATATACAAGAAATACTCTAAAATGCATATTTATGATTCCCTAATTTTTTATGATCTACATTAAAATACAAATCATTAGAACCTAAATATTTTCGTTATATTACCCGACTACAGTAAAACTACAGGTCTTTTCTTGATTGTGGAATATAGATCTTAGGGTCTTATATAGATATTAGAAAACCTATAGGTCTTAAATGGATCACATAAAACCTTTAGGTCTTTAGTACTATAAACTACATCAACATTTTGGACTATAGAACCCGTCAAATCTTCTATTGATAATTGAAGACCTTCTGATAATGGGTGACTTCCTGGTCTTCTATGAATAATAAAGTACTACAAATATTCTATGGGCTATAAACTAAGAGGTCTAGAGTCCCTCCTGTCCTTTAATGGCAATAGAATAATTAAGGTCGTTTTATGCATACAATATAATATCTCTACATTTTATATACTTAACCTCAAACCACTGGCCAGATCAGATATTTACATTATTAGAAAATAAATTCGAAAAAATTAGCTCTCAAAATAATCAGTCATAATTTCTTTCAAACTCCAATAGCATACATTTTTTTGTATAATTTATGTATGTAGCTTGGTAGTGTAGGTAATTAGTTAGGAGCAACATTTTTATTCTGGTAGCGCTGTAGTAATGTCCCCCATTTAAGGAAATCAAAAAATAATATTCCTGATATTATTATTGGTATATGGCACCTTAATAACACATGTATTCATTCATTTCCCTATCACCTAAAGTAGTTTTAGTAAATATTTAGTATTAAATAAGTTGCACCGTAACTACATCATTATCTGTTGCACCTTCATCAAATATATTAACGTTTCACCACTAAATGTCCTCCTTCTTAAATAAATCATTTAATAAATCTATTATAAAAAATGTCTAAGTAGTATTTTTTGTTTGCTATTAATGAAAACTTACCAAAAAACCCATAACATTAACAAATACAGACAATCACGAATATTCCAAAAAATTGAAAACTCAATTATATTAATTGACAATATCTTAAGGAAATTAATACGAGGATTGATATACAAATAGGCGCAGTATATCTCCCCAAACTACAAGTTTTATTTTAACTAACATTGAAAGAATCGCGAAATTAACTTTATTTTTTTGCCGAGATATCACCATTTCATATTTACTTCGTTATAAAATATAGCTGCTACACAATGCTGATTACCTGTTACCTTTATATTGTCTACAGAACAAAATTCGTATTTCATAAAAACTGGAAATCAAACAGAAATCAATTTAAGGTAACAGGCGAACAGTAGTAATCCGTAACAGCTATACTTTGATACACGGTCAACTTCAAATTTCCATATCTGAGGAACAAATGAAGGTATTCTCCTAATTCACAGAAAAAATCAGTTTTCTAAGAAAAACACTTGAGTTGATAAACGTGCCCAAAATAGCGAATAATGTGGTGTGCCGCTATATAGGGTCTACCTCGAACCTTAAGTCAATATTGATAAATTTTGGTAGGAAGATTTTGTACCCAATGAAAACCAATATAAGCAATTTCAGCCACTTCAATGTGTCTAAACTCCCCAAAATATTTTGAAGGTACCATAATATGGATGCTAAGAAGATTTGCTACCGAAGTAGAACTCTGATATATTCTCAAAATATGTCAATACCGTTATATATGGAACATACCTATACGTGAACCGATATATCCCAACTCAAAGCTCTATTGGAAATGGCAGCATCAGCACTGAATCCCGTTATATCTCCGAAGCCCCAAACTAACAGTGAAACAACCACGAATTTATCTTCATTCATTGCCAAGAAATAACGTTTTGAAATTTACCTTGAAGGACCAAAATGTAGCTACTACGCAATGATGATTGCCTGTTACCAACAATTTGTCTACTGAACAAAATTCATATTCCATAAAAACCGGAATTTTCAGAGTTATTTTGCTGGTATTGAAAGATTAAATTCAAGTGTATATATCTCAGTAGCGAATGAAGATATTTTCTTTAAATTTTCGATATTTCTTAGAGTGGAAGTTCTAGATTTTCTCCGGGCTAATTCATCGAAACCCAAATACCCCAAAATACTGGCATTTTGGTGTTATCGAGCTATTTGTATGAATTTGCATGAATATTTGTTTCGAAAACCTGAAGGACAAAAATAAAACCAATTTGGTTAAAAGTTTGCCAAAAACTTCCAAAATTTAGAATGCTACAGTAACACTTTTATTTGAAAACTCCGTTATATTTACGAAAACTGCAAATTTTACACCAAGTAACAGTAAAAGAATCACCAAAATTTTCCTTGTCTCAAAATATAGTTGCTACGCAATGCTGGTTGCCTGTTACCGTAAAATTATCTAACAACCAAAATTAATATACCCCAAAATATTCAGCGTAATTTGTTTCTGCAACGAAAATTCCTTTGGAATTCAATGTGAGGTACCAGGCGACCAGTAATGCGCAGCAGGTATATTTTGATACACCGCTAAATTCAAATTCCTATATCTCAGCAATGAATAAAGGCATTTTCATGAAATATTCGATATCAGTTATAGCGAAACTTTAAAATTTTCTCTGAACCAGTTTGAAACATTTTCCTTGTATTTTAGAAAAATTAATATATAATTCCCTTAGAGAAAATAAGAGAAATCCCATTCTAAATTTGTATTCTTGATTGTCTTAATACTCACACGACATTTTGCCAACACATACCTACCGTCATTAACACTCATTGACGACATTTGTACATCTCGACATCATAAATGTATACAAAAACATACATCAAATACATATAACATTTTGTATAGTCACTTTTATGTATATTATTTTCATATACAAGATATATTTATTAAAATAATATATATATTTTTGTATAATATTTATAATATTGTATATATTTATTTATATCTCTATCATAAATTATTTATTTTAAAAACGCTGCCAAAAACTGAATATTTTTTCTAATAGATTCCAATTTTTCCCCTCCTACTATTTTATTTTTCCATCATAACAATACAGGTACCACAAAAGCGCAGGCGGAGGATCACGGCGTTCTAATTATAACAACACTTCTCGTCGTCTCGTTCCTAATTTGTCTCCTATGCATACTCTATCACTCCAGAAGAAAACGTAGACAGCAACTGCATCAATTGGGTCTGCATCGTAATGCTCATTATGATTCGCAAACAAGTGCCACGGGTAAGTGATATTGGAAATTGTTCAAATTGCGATTTTACAATATTAATAATTTTTTTGGTTTTTAATTTATTTTCAGTTTTTCGAAGATTTTAAGTTGTGTGCTTTTTTTGTTGTTATTATTGATTTTGCTAAGGTAAAAATTGTGTTTCTTTATTTTATGTTAATTGTGATCTGCAATGTAAAGATTTTGTTATGAGTCCAATAAAATGCTTATCAAACTGCCAGAGTTCACACAGAATTCGGTACGAAAGTTTTCTGAAACTAAAACAAATAAATCATATTCCTGTTTTTCTTTTTTTCTTGGTCTATAGGGCGGTAACCTCATCTGGAATCTCTCCAAAGATGGTCAACTTTATGAAAAATATATATACCTTATATAAAACGAATAATACAATTTGTGTTTTATTCCATAGACCTCCGCAAACCATAGATAGGGCATATATTTGCCAGCAACACTTTTGTTCCTTTTTTCCCCCTTAAAATACCGCAAATTTTATTGCATCAATTGCATTAGATTAGTCACACATTATGGACATTTTTTGGAATAACATACATTTTAATCCAAGTTATTTGCTTACAATATGAAATAGGACCTCTATTAATCCCCAATATACCACCAAATGTAACATTGAACGCAATTTGGAATAATTATTACATTTTCCTGAAGTCCAGACATATTGGTAAATTTCACCTAGAAAACGACAACAATTTCATTTTATATTAGCAAGTAAAAAAATTTACATTTTCCTCTATACATCACTGAAAAAATCGTCCAAATTGGTTGGATATATACGGAGATATTCCTATTTGAAGTTGATCATCTTCCAAAATATGCCTACGATTGAGTTCTGTTTGCCTGTTACACAAAAATGAAAAACCACACAAATCTGTTAGTGGCAAAAATGGCAATTTTCATGTTAAAGTGTTGCCAACCACATGTGTTTGTTATATTTATGATGTGTAGAGAAAATGTAAAGCATACTCTTAGGCGCATATAAAACACGTGCAAATCGAGCCCTAATATATTGACGTTTACAGACGAATGAATACTTTTTGAAAACACTTTACTAATAATTTCTCTATATCAAAAATTATTGAAAATAAAAACCTTTGTTTTTTTAATTTGTATTTTATTTCTTAATAGATTAACAAATAGCAATTTTAGAGTTATTTTAAAAAAAATCAGAGACACTGCAGATAAATGACAAATTATTTGATTTTTTCTTCAAAAATCGTTATTGTTTTTAATGTAAATAATGTAGGATAGCAGCAGAGATGGACATAATTTCCATTTTCGCATAAAAGTCTGCATCTATCTCATACTACGTCCTCAGACATCATTCCTCACTAAATTTGATCATTTGTCACACGGCAATTACTTTACCGTTGGCTGGAATTAAATCGGTACTGTTGCGATGAATTAATGAGATCTGAAATAAGAAAAAAAGGAATAATTAGGTATTAAAAATAAAAATACAAGGGTAGATAGATAAACGAATACAATATAAAGACATGTTGTGGACATATAAAAAATTTACCAAGAAAATTTGCTATAAAAATGCCAGAGGTTAGTCGGTATCCAATTTCAATTAAAACACGTTCAGATATGTCTGTGGTTTGCATACGTTTTCCATTGGCAGGTATTAAATCGGTACTGTTCCGATGAATGAGTAAGATCTGAAATAAGAAAAAATAGGTATTAAAAATAAAAATACATGGTAGATAAACGAATATAATATAAATACATGTTGTGGGCAACTAAAAATATTTTTAAGAAAGAATTATTATATTATTTCATTCTACTGAAGAATTTGCAATAAAAATGGCAGATGTCAATCCGTATCGAATTTCAATTAAAACAAGTAAAAAAGCGTCATTCTGTGTTGCCGAAAGATATGTCTGTGGTTGCATAGGCCTTCTGAATTATAGGTTAATGTTCATGTAGCTCATTTCGAAAGAGAAATAAATAAAAACATTTGATCTCGCATTAGAAAGGCATAAAACTTAAAATGTTCCCCTTTGCAGGGGAGGTACCATAACGATTGACCAATGGATTCAAATAGACATTGCAATAACTTTATATTGGATTAAACAATTTTCCATATTTCGATCATTTTGTGGTTGATGTACCACAATTTTAAAATTTTTTTAGCAAATCTGTACTACGAAAAAGGTTATGGCAAAAATAAATATACAGACGATTTTACTACTTTCCTTACTGATTTATATTAAAATAGTTGTCTGATTTGCTCCGCGTTTTGGCTCTGTAATTCATTTCACCCATATAAAACTGGAACAGAAAAGGTTCGATAATGATCTATAGCCCGCATTTAGGCCTAGCCCCCATATAATGATACCTACCGATATTCGGTAGTTTTAATATTTAGAGTAAAGAACTGTATTCTGATGCAATAATGTTAGTTTCAAAATTTTCGGCAATTCCTACACGATGCAATCAACATTTGGTCCCGCTTAAGGTTAGCCTCCAGGGACGTACTCATACAAATTTCTTTCTGCAATATTAATGTTCATATTGAAACAACAGCTTCCACCCAACCTCGCGAAATAAAATCTGGTAACGTTGGAGTGGAACAATGGGTCCCATCTTCCTACAGGATCTACGCTTGCTTAATATAATAGTTTATTCAACCGTATTTAAAATACATATACAGACCAAATTTGTTTTTAATATAAAAACCCCGTCGTCAGCGCCATCTATCGATTAACATGATTCAAAACAGGCACATCCATTTTTTGAATCCAATTTCTACTTTACTATAGAAAAGCAAACCCATATATTACCAAGAGGAATTGAAGAAAACTTCAATACCACATTTCATTAAAAAAAATAAAATAATTTATTTTTTATTGTTTACATAAAGTATACAATTATACCTTTTATATAACACCAATTTCATTTAAGTATCTACAGTATGCCAAAAGATATAGGAAAAACAAAGAGGTTTAAATTTTGCATAATCAATTTTTGGATCTATCCATTCAATAGATGGCGCTGACGACAAGTAATTGTAAATGCTGAAATATATACAGCAAATCATCAGAATTTTAGATTCTTTATAATTTTTGAATGTGTAGCGATACATAAATAATTCGAATGGATATTAATAGTTTAGGTCATACACTATCATTAAAGAAAGTTTGTCCGAGTTGCCAGAAAATCCGAATTTTCTTGAATTCTTCATAATTTTGAGCGCGTAACAATACAGAGACAACTCAAAGGGATATTTTTAGCTTAGAATATCATCTTTGTAACCACATTTAACACTAGAACGCCGAAGGCAGTCATTTTGACCGCTTTCCAATTTCAAGTAAAAAAGCAAATGTGCATTTAATGATACTTTTTTTTAAATTTGGTGACTTTTTGTATCTCATAGAATTACGTTTATTATAAAAAAATCACCAAATTTAAAATAAAAGTGTCATTAAATGCACAGTTGCTTTTTTACTTGAAATTGGAAAGCGGTCAAAATTACTGCCTTCGGCGTTCTAGTGTTAAGAGTGTTTACCGGAGTTGACACTGTAAAAGAAAAGTTAAAAAACCATCGTTTAAAACATTATTTCGTATTCAACTATAGGGAATTTTATAAATTTTTTTAATTCACAAGAATGTATGCAACTTTACCTTTCATATGACACCACTTTCATTGAAATATCTGCAACACAACAACATTAATGGCAAAATTAAATGAGGTGTATAATCTATATAAAGCCTCATCGTCAGCGCCATCTATTGAGGGGCATGAATTAAATCAGACACATCAGTATTTCAATTCATACTTCCTAACTTTTGAAAAGATGATCGCATATCTACCAAAGTGGTCTCATATGAAAGCGTAAATAGTCAACTTTACTATGACCTGCAAATAATTTTGGATAACAAAAATATTAACGAGAGAAATTTCATATAAAAATTTTCATATGACACCAATTCCATTTAAATATCTACAGAATTCCAAAAGTTATAGGAAAAACAAATGAGGTTCAAATTTTGCAGATTCTACCCATTCTATAGATGGCGCTGACGACAAGTGTTTGCCAGTGATGTCATGTTAAAAGGAAATCACAGGCAATTTAGATTCTTTAGAACTTTTGAATGTGTAATGATACAGAAATAATACTTACATAGCTAGCTGGAGACAGAACATATGTTCCATAAGCCGAACTTAAAAAAAAAGATTTCCAGGGGCGCCGATCTTGTGCGCGGTTATTAAAATTTCAAATACCATACTTTGGTATGTTATCCTCCACATGGTCTTTCCATCGAATTCATAGCCTTGCCCTTCTACGTGATCCATCAGTTGGTTCGCTTTTATATGCCTTATGAGCTGGGGCATCCTGCAGTTCGATACGACTGACCTGTCGATGTCCGTGTATAGATTGTACAACTCATGGTTCATTCGACGCCGATATTTTCACCGTCGACGCAGATCGGCCCATAGATCTTTTGGATAATTTTTCTGATGTTTTTAGTTTTGTTTGTGGTGGTACCGAGGTATATAAAATCGTTCACCACCTCGAAGCTGTAGTTTTCAAGTTCCACAGTCGTCTAAGTCTAGTGGACATCTTACTCGTTGATACCATCAGCATGGTCTTCTCGACATTTACTAACAGTCTCACTTTGGCATACTCCTTCTCAATTTGTTCAAAGATGGATGTTAACGCTCGCCATGTTAGACTCATTATGTCGATGTCGTCCGTGAGTAAAATATGCTGTACAGAGTCCCATTCCTGTTCACATTTGCATCTCGTATGTCCTTTTCCAGCAAGATGTTAAAAAATGCCACACGACAAACGGTCACCTTGTCTGAATCCTCGTTCGGTATTGAAGGGCTCCGATAGGTCCTTTCTGATATTAACTGCTGACCTTGTGCCAGTTAAAGTAATGCTGCATATCCGTATTAATTTTGCAGGAATACCGAACGCAGACATGGCTTTAAACACGTCTGAGCGAATTGGGCTGTCGAATGCGGCTTTATAGTCGACGATTAGGTGGAATGTGTCGATATGTTTCTCGTGGGTCTTTTCCAGGATTTGGTGCAGTATGAATATCTGGTCTATGGAGGATTTGCCAGGGACCATTAGCTTCAGTTGTTCACACAGCACGCAGGATAGCACGTTATAACATTTCCGGTCTTCACACTGACTCCTGTATATCTCGATTTGGCTCACATTTTTCTTGTTCATTCATTATTCTTTTGAAAAAAATTCTCTCCCGAAAATTCGACTCTAAATTGTCATAAAACTCGTACTCGATAAGGAATATTTTACCTAATGAGAAAATTAAGCAAATATCAATAGGGCGGAGGGTATAAAAATATATATTTTTTTTTGCAACTACACATACCGTGTATGAAATAAAGAGGAACTCGACAAGAATCCTTTTCGATTGCAGTTTCAGCTTTTGCGCCATTGGTAGTGGTTTCTAAGTGGGTACGATTTTGGTTCACTTCTCCTTAAATATGAGAGTGTAGAAAACGGCTCGATGACATCACCTTTACAATCTGTTTCCTTTTTCGGGAGAGATGCAAAAGAGATGTTTTTGTATCATTTTTTATTCATCATTATTCTTACCAACAATTGTGTATCCAAAAACTTATTACGTATTATCTCCTTTATAGGTCTTAATTCCAGTCGTCGTCACCTGCAAAGTGGTGGTGCCAGTATTGCGGGAAGTTTACACGGCCTTAATAGTGGCACACTCATTATACCACCAGCACCACTGCCACCAAGAGCTATACATCAACCACCACATATATGCATATCGGGTTCCAGTTTAGATCTGGGACCTGGCAACTATCCCGGCATACTCATCAATGGCGATTCACTGGAGGATTCATCATCGACCTCGAACGATTCAATCGGTAGTATACCATTTCTAAATGATTGTGAAACGGAAAATCTGGGGCAACATATGATGCAGGCCCATGCTGGAGGTGGGGTAATAGGTGGTGGAGAAACCGTTTAACATTTACAAAAAACTCTAACAAAATTATTTTATTTAAGGAAATTTAAAGCGAAACAGAAAACATTTGTTTGAGAAAAAAACAAACAACCAAACATTTGAGTTTCATATTTGTTTAAGAGATAAGTTTTAAGTTTATGATTTTATTTTATTACAAAAAAGAAATCAGGAGATGTACGAATTCTGAGAGCAAGCGAAAAAAATTGATAATTATATTCAAAACATGAAGTAATACAATTCAAAAGTTAACAATACCCAAAAGACAAATGCAAAACAAATAAACAAAACAACAACAACAAAAATCAATTTAAAATTAAGAACCTAATAAATGAAAAAAAATAAATAAAACAAAATAAAAAGAAATTCTATATATTAAAAATATAAACGAATTGCATATAAACAAGAAAACTAATAACAGATTGAAATATAAGAATAAATTTTTAACAAAAAAAAAACAACAAATAAATCAATTTTCAAACTGAAAACAAAAATGGATATTAATAATAAAAGAAAATTTAATATAGTAGAATATGTTTAATTGATGAGACAACAAGAAAATAAAAAAAATACAACTACAAACTGATCACTCAATTTCAGTACTACAAAAAAACAACAAATTCAATACAAACAAAATTTAAATACGTATAACAAACACTCAATGATATGCCAAGAAAGTAAAATTAAACTAAATTTCACAACTGACTTTTGCCAAAAAAAATATGGCAAAACTAACTGAATTAACATAAAGAAATTAATTTAAAAAATAAAATACATAAAACATTGTTGATTTTTATATTTGATACAAATAATATTCTTATATATTTAGGAAAAACAAAACAATTAAATAAATGAGATCATAATGAGAAAAATTTGCAAAATCATAATAACAACAACAAAAACAAACGAAAAAACATACATATGTAAAGTTTTTTAATTAAATAACAAAAACAAAGAAGAACAACCACAACAACAATAATAAGAAATAGTTAATAGAAAGGATAAATTGATATACATATAAAATTCCATAAAAAATCAAAATAACAAATCCATAAAATTATCGTTACATTTTGATTTTTTTCAGATTTTATATATAAAAATCATTACAGATAAAATAATTAAAAAATCATATAAGAAATAAAGTTTTTGGAAGTTCAGAATATTTTAAAAAAAGTATTACCTTTTTTCAAAATGTTTTATAATGTATTGAACTGATGCTTCTTATTTCTTCTTGCAATTGTGGTAATATCATACTCGATGGGGTGACATACTCGAAGACCGATCTTGGAGTTTGTTTATTTCTGAAATTATAGAAATTTACCTACTTACTTAGCTGGTTTGTGACAGAACTATCGTTCCATTACCCGAGCTTAAAAAAGATTTTCAGACGCGTCGGTCTTTTGCGCAGTTTTTCCAGTTTGGCAATGTTGTCTTCCACTTGATCTTTCCATCTTATTCGGGGCTTTCACTTCTGCGTGAACCATCAGCTGGTTCGATTTTATATGCCTTTTGGGCTGGGGCATCTTCAATACGTCTAACAATGCCGATGTCCGAGAATAGCTGGTATAGCTCATGGTCATTGACCTTGTGCCACTTAAAGTTATCCTGCATAGCCGTATTAATTTTGCAGGAATGCCGACGGATAGGGCTGTCAAATGCGCCTTTATAGTCGACGAATGGGTGGAATGTGTCGATGTGTTTTTCGTAGGGTTTTCCAGGATTTGGCGCAGAGTGAAAATCTGGTCAATGGTCTGAAGACGCATTGGTATGATCTAATAATGTCATTGACCATTGGCTTCAATCGTTCACACAGCACGCTGGATAGCACTGAGGTTCCAATCATTGGTCATTTATTCTTCTAGCCAAATTGTACCAATCATCTGGTGCATGCTTCTTACCAGCATCTGACCACCAGTCTTGAATATTTCGGCTTGTAACCCATCGGCACCTGCGAAATTTATTAAATTTAAGTTACTGTTTATGTTCTCTATAAATGTTGTTACCCGTATGATAATCTCTCTCTGTGACAACGTCCGCTTTTTGTGCCAGGTTTTTGCTTCTCCGTGGACACCATAAAGAGGGAGAGTGTAGTAAGGAGCTCGATAACAGTAGCCTTGCAGTGAGGTTTAGCAACTGATGGCTATTCCTTATTGCTTTTCGGAAGGGAATCGAAAAAAATTGCTGAGAAGTAGAGCCATGATGATTTCATCTGTGATGAGAATAACTTCCCCCTCTTTGCATACATTTGCACCTTTAGTGATTGTCATCTTCTCTATACACGAATGAATTGACCTTCATATCCAGAAAAGATGGAGGAAGAAGCTCAGTAACAGCTGATATGCTTTTTTTCATAACCTTGATTAGAGGTCAGAAAAGATAGAGGAAGAAGCTCAGTAACCTTGATTAGAGGTCAGAAAAAATTGACATTATAGGAAGGAGCTCATTAACAGCGAAAGGAAATATGCCGAGATGTTGAGCTATCATGCTTCCGACTTAGGAAGGCTTCCCTTTCTCTACACACCGATTGTATAAACTTTATAATGTGTCGAAATCTTTGAGATCAATTTTTCATTTGCACAGTTCTGAGTTCTCTTTATAGTTATTTTGATGGTAATCTATACAGGAGTAGAGTAGTGTATGTGTTTTTAGTTGAAATTCTTCTGATCTGATTTTCCCTTCCGTCGTCGTTTGCAAAATTCTCATTTGAATTTTTCTGAACTTCCTCAAACAACTCTTCCGATATCAATTTTTCCCAATAATTAATACATTTACAAATAAATACATACAATGCAACTGAAATAAAACGAAATATGTCAACCATATATATACCACACTGCATACAAAATTATAACATAATGCGCTCAATAATATACTGAAATAATTTTAAACGAAATAAAACTAAATTTGATAGAAAAAAAAAAACAAAAAACAAAATAATAATATCAAATTAGTGACTATCAAAATTGCATCTTCCAAAAACAAAAATGAAAACAATTGAAATAATTTTAAATAATGAAAATCAAATATAAATAAAAAAAATATTACATACATTGTTCTTGAAAGAAACCCGAAATATAAACACGTATATATGTATGTATGTGTTTATGTTAATTTAACGAAATTCAATAATTGAGATTTGTATTTCAATTCCACAAGAAAAAAATGTTAATATAATATTTTGAAACATAAAACTTCAACGCGTCCTCAAATGAAGAGGCGTTGTCAAATTGTCTTTTTTGGCTGAGAATGATCCACTTAATTTCCCCGTTTTCAGTAGATTTTTTCTTTCGATAATTTCTTGTATATAGAATTTTAATATGTTATACAAATTCGAGGGCCCTCCTTGAAGTCCTCTATAGTTATTCTGTAAACCTTCAAAATATATATTCTTCTATATAAAAAAATGCTTCTATAGAGAAAACCCCATTCACAAATGGAAGATAATTCACAAAACTTTTGAAGACATTTTAAGGCCCTTCTTTTGGTCTTCTATATAAAAATCAATTTTCTATTGTTATTCCACATGTATAAGAGTTTCTACCGGTATTCTATATTTGGTAGGCGTTCTAATGGTCCTATAGACGGAAGAACTTTTAAGGGTCTTCTATATTTGAAGGAGTTCCTATCGGTCTGTAACTGTACTGACTAATATACGATTTCTACATTTATTGGATAGTCTCTACTGATATCAAGAACTTTTTAAAGAAATTCCTTAATGTGGACTTTAGTGGACCTTTGTTCAACACTTTTGGAATAAATTTTATTGGCGTCATTGGCCATTTTCGAGCCTCTTCGGGCAGGTCTTCATTAAATGGAAGCGATTTCTACTAATTCATTGCGAATAATATGCTTTCAATAGGTTCTCAACCAGATAGAAAAGTAATTTTTTCAGACCTCCTATAAATAGACACCTTACTATTCCCAACTGAGTTATTCCCATAAAAACAATAACCTCGAAAACAGATAAATCCAAAACTGAACTAGAATGTATAACTATAAATAATTTCTCGTGGTAGCGCGTCATGGCCAAGGGAACGGGGAAAAACAAACATTTTAGAGCGTGTGGAGAAGACAACGAATGGCTTTTCAAGCATTCGAACCTAATTCTTAGGAAATTCACGAAATAATCGGCCTAAGGGGGTGTAAATGAAAAAAAACTGAAGAACTTTACAAATAAAACATAATTCGTAGAATATTAGGGAAGCCGAATCTAAAGGTGACTTCTAACCTACTTCCTTCTCTAGAGCGCACAACAGGCCACTCACAGGCTATTAAACCAAACCTCTTCTCAACCTAACCTAGGTTATAGGATGTACAACCACTAGTTATTTTGTAGGAAACCTTTGGTTTTTTGTCTTCATACTGAGTACATGAAAATAGGTGATAAGAGACAAAAAGAGAACGGTTAGGGGATGACATTAAATGTTATAACTTAGCCAAAAAATATTTTTGACAAAAATGTGAATTCTGATTTACATTCCTATTGGAGGTAAGGGACCTATTTTCGTAGTGACCTATTATGACTCCTACAGTATAAGCCTTTACTCCCTTCCTTAGTGATATCAATGAGGTAGGTCTAGCATCGTAAAAACTCTTGCCAAATCAACTAATGCATGGTTTCTGTTAACTGATTTTGCGAATTTTTCCAATGTAATAGCAAATTGGTGTTCTAACAGACTCAACTCTATATTCAAATTGGGCGACTGCGACCCATCGACCATTCTCGTTTATTTCAGTATCATCTTGATCCGCCCTTAAATTGAAAGTATGCGATTTTATTGCTTTAATAATCGCCAGGATAACGACTTATGTATGTATTCTCCGGGCCTGGGTCATTTATTCTAAGTTCTTTGACTAACTCGGCCGTCTTCGTGATTGCTCTTATTCTTCATACTCTTTTGGAATCCCGATACTCTTCTACAAAAAAAGAATAACAAGTCCCTATGACACCGTTGAGACAAACTCGAAATTTCGAGGGAGAAATAACCGCGTTTCTAAATTTTTGAACCGGGCATTCGGATAATAAAATGCCTAATATTTATATCATTAGAAAGCTAATTAAAAAAGTGC